AACTGTGGATTTTTGATCAGAAGGGCCAGGAACTTGGTCGACACGCATTCTTACCGGCAGCCCTAATTGCACCCGGAGTTTGGGGTCAGTGGTTGCTGATGGAAGGAGTTGCGGGATGAGGCGAGCCTTCTCAAGCCTAGGTCGTATCGTCAACGCGAAACCCAAACCCCCTCTTTTTCTAGTTGTCAATGTATACAACCCCTGTAGCATCTCAATAGAAAGCCGCGAAAACCCGAAACTTGAAGAGTTCCATTTCCGACATTACCGTCGTACCTTCACTGAACCCTTGCAGTATCCTTTCTTCAACTAGCGCCGTATACGACCCTCTAACACTCTCAAGCGCTATGCAACCTTGCAAAACACTCTACTAAACAGCCCCTACCCTCTATATAGCCCTTGGTAGTTACCCTGAACCCTAAACCCTAAACCCTAAACCAGACCCTAACTTCAGTATGGCCGACTTGGGGGTGCCAGGGTCACAGGGCTTCCCGTTCAAGATGTTCAGGGCTGGCGCCATGGTCCCAAAAGGCTTCCTTTAAACGTGATTCCTTTGAGGCGTCCCTTCCAAGGGAATGAAGAGTTCGTTTGAAAAGAGTTGCGATTAGGGCGGGGATGAGGGTTTGGAGGTTTAATGTGCATGTCTTGAGGCTTAGAGCTACGCCTGAGCCTATGCTGCTGTTTCATTGCCCATAGTTTGATGGGTAGCCAAGCCTGAATCGCGAAGTTTCAATTCTCTCCCTAGACCATCTAGTCTCCATTGTAGTTCCTTTTTGGGGATACCTTATAGATTCCTCAATATATAAATGGTTCGACCCAAAAAAGGAACTACAATGGAAACCATAGGTAAAGCCTCTATTGGAGAAGGCTATCATGACCTCGAGACGGGTGAGATCATCACCGTGCCCCGTGGAGAGGGCCCGGAAGAGGGCCTCCCCTCGGTTCCCGGGCTGCAGCGCGAGGGCTTAGTGCAGACTTTCGATCGGAAAAGAGCGAGCGAGAGAGAGAGAGAGAGAGATACAGAGAGAGAGAGAGAGAATAAAGAAAAGAAGCATAGCAAAGTCAAAAAAAGAAACACTATTGCAAAAGAGTTAAGAACAAAGAGAGAGAGAGAGAGAGGTTACAATGGAACGAGTCACGATATTTGAATTCGTGTCCTGATACGCAGATGGCAGAAACACAGCTCGGATGGTTTTGGGGACCACAGGTACCCGCAGTGACAGTGCCTTTACGGCTGGGATTCTCTTTATGGTCATACAAGCCGTTTGTAAATCTCGAAGGGTCCTAGTTAGTAACCTGGTAATACCAGTAGAATGTAGGGTTTCGATAGTAGGATTGTTTGATGGTTTGGGTAAGTATTCCTCAGAAGCGTTCCTGGGACCCTTAGGGAATGTAAACTGTGGAGGTTTAACAGGGAGCATTGAATATCTTGCGAAAAGGTGGTATAGAGAAGTTTACCCAAAGCCCTATCCAAATTACTAGTTCTGGACCCCTGACTTTAAGCCGTTCAATCAGCAAATAGCAGAAGCCCACCGTTGTTACAAGTTCTATACAAACCTAGAAACCTCTGTAAGCCCTTCAAACACCTCTAAGATCCCATAAACCCTAAACCCTAAACGCTTTACAAAGCAAAGGTAAGCCCTGTAAGCATGAACAGGTGAGTAAGGCCGTCCTCTCTCCTGCCGAAGACTACATCGCGATTCTCGGCTTCAGCGGTTTGGAGCTCTTTCGACTGATCCGCGCTGCACCTGAGACTGCGGCTTAGGGGCGACCCTGGATCTCCAAAAGTATGTGGAAGACTAGCCTTTGGAAGATGTTGGGCCATTCATTTCCCTATTTTTTTTTTTTTTTTTTTNNGGGGGGGGGGGGGGTAGGTCGAGGCTTCCAGGGCTTGGTAAGTTCTGTTTATACAAAACCACACACCCCAGTTTGGGATTCCTTGTGTTTGAGGGAATATAGGAGTTCTACAAAGCCTGAAGCCTCAACCCAAGTTTCGAAGTCCTCTTTGTGGTTCCAGTACAGCGTGCCCTGAAACCTTATTCTACTTGATCCATGCTCCTATATGACTCTTCTGCCAGCATTAGTATACCCTTTGCGGTTAGTTTAGGCTTTAGCTTGCGGCAGGTTTAGGGCTGAGAATCTAAGCATTGTGGGGCAGACTTCTGGACGTGGTTGTGTCTCCTCTCGGCCGCATGTTTCAATGGACCCTGCTTTCGATTGGGTACTTTCCTTTAGTTCCTGCTCTAGGTTCATCCAGCTATATATGGGAGTTTCCGAAAATNNGGGTATCCTATTTGGGGGTCCGTATAACAAGGATCCTACTATTTATGGTACTCTATTAGGGGCCCCTATTTTCTGAAACCCCCGAATTTCGGACCCTATAAGGTTGCCCCAAAGAAACTAGAATGGAGACTTTGGGTAACCCCCAAACCCTGAGCCCAGGATTCAGGTGTATGTCAACTTGCCTTCCTTACCGTCACCAAACCCTAATCGAAGTATTAAGGCCCCTATATTAACCCTAAACTACACCCTAAACCCTGAACCCAAAACCCTGAACCCTAAACCCTAAACCCTAACCCTGCATTAGTTTCAAGGCCCAATCGCGGGCAGGGTCTAATTCTGTGCACCCGTGCGACGGGGAGATGTTCGAAACACTTCCCGTTTCACATCAAGCCACGTCAAAACCCCATACCCTCGCCCCGAAACCTGCTACTCTAAACCCTAAACTCAAAATGCCTACACCCCAAACCCTAAACCCTCCTCCCTGAACCCAAACTCCTCAACCCCAGAACCAGAAGCTTCATAGAAGGTAATACCCCACAACCCTAAACCCTTGAAGCCTAGACACCCCCCCCACAAAGCCGTAGCCTTTACAGAAACCTTTACCCTTAGCATCAACGTAGCCCAAAAGCCATATTTAATATTGTCTTTGGGCCCAAAAGCCTTAAAACATGAGTCCTTTGAGGGTAAGGGTAAACCTTAAACCCCTAAGCCCTAAACTAAACCCTAAACCCTAAACCTTAAACTTTAAACCCTAAAACCCTAAAGCCCTAAACCCGAAACCTCTAAACCCTAAACCCCTAAACCCTAAACCCTAAACCCTAAACCCCTAAACCCTAAACCCTAACTAAACCCTACCCTTCGACCTCGGCTCCCATGCTTAAGTGCCTTCGGGCAGATCGGCGGTTCGAAGCTGCGGAAAGGCGATTTGATCTTCTTCTGGGTAGTAGAGTAGGGTTTAGGGTTTAGGGTTTAGGGTTTAGGGTTTAGGGTTTAGGGGTTTAGGGTTTTGGGTTTTGGGTTCAGGGTTTTGGGTTTAGGGTAATGTAGGAGCCTGAATAATTACCAATTCTATTTCGGGGGGTTCCTTATTATGATTATAGTATAATGGGCCCGAAACCCTATTCTAATTATTAAGCCCCCTACATTACTCTGCTTAGCAGTAGAGTAGGACACCTTTAACCTCTTGGCGGTTTCGCAACCCTTGTATAATCTCAAAGGTGAACCTGAGTTCCCTAAACCCTAAACCCTAAACCCCTAAACCCTAAACCCTGGACCACTGGACAATTGCGTTTTACCCATGGTTTCAGTAGAAGGCTTAGGCATTGGCGTGGAGGGATGTGTTCATGAAGCCGAAGTCCCTCACCCCTAAAACCTATATGCCATAAGCCCTCAAAAATACGCCCGACGCGCTATACGTACCCTAAACCCTAAACCGGAAAGCCTGTAAGATATCCTGAGTTTCGTGAAGCTGGAGCACCAAAGTTTCAAGTCAGCAAGGCCGAAGCCCGGCACAGCCGGGTTTAGGGTTTTAGGGTTTAGGGTTTAGGGTTTTAAGGTTTTAGGGTTTTGAGTTTAGGGTTAGGGTTTAGGGTTTTGGGGGATCTGGGTTCAGATTTCAGACCTTCATCCCTCGCAGCCCAACGCCCGGAACCCAAGAGAAAACTGAAACGGTTGAGGCTCAACCCTATCAGCCCTAGTCTGTCACGGTTTGGGTTCTTGCGGACCCCTAACATAGCGGCCCCAACAATTACCTACGCTATTTTGGGGGCTCCTTATAACATAGTATAGTTTTACCCCAAAACTCTTATTCCAATTGTTAAGGCCCCTATGTTGGCACTTCAACCCTAAACCCTAAACCCTAAACAACTGTCGACTCTGTCCGAGCTTTCTGCCCGGCGTTTTCTGCTCAAGCATCGTCCTTCTTCCGTCTGGCGCGCCAGACTGCCCCCCTTAAAGGCATCTGTTGGTGACGGTTTAGGGTTTAGTGTTTAGGGGGGGTTTTCTGTTTAGGGCTGATGGGCTTTGTGTGTTGATTTCGGGTTTGCGTTTGGGGTTGTACGGAGTCTGGGGTTTAGGGTTATATAGGAGTCTGAACACTTAGTGAATAATAGTAATGGATGTAATCGTATACCCTTAAAGTTATAATTAGTCCCTATCGAATTACTCTGGAGATATATCACCAAACCTCATTTCTAAGTATAATGCCGCTGCATTATAATTAGAAGTTTGGGGGGTGGGATCTATCTGGGCTGTGTAAAACGCTGCCATGGTTCTGGAGTTGCTTACAAGGGTAGCTCTTTAAATTAGAACCTCTGTTTACATCCCGACTGAGCCTTTTCAAACCCTACCTGGACCCCAAAGACATTTCAACCCTACCTGGACCCCAAAGACCCTACCTCTGCAGGGTGCCTTATTATGATTTCTTGATACAAGTCCCTAAAGAGGTAGGTTATTTGGGGTTATGAGGTAAACCCTAAACCCCAAAGCCTGCGCTAAGGCTCGACAGAACCCAAATAAGACTTGGGTACGGCAGGCTGGGAACTCGGACCCTCTCAGGGAATTTGGGGGGTTTACCTGTACCCAAAGGGTCCCTAAGTACTTATACCTATACGGTAGAATGTAGGAGTTCTATAGAAAAAGTCATTAGTATGATTTCGATCTCCCCCCCTTGTTTTGCTTAGGACTTAGGACCCTGTGGCTTCGTGTGCAGGCGAGCAACTATGGCTAGCCAGACCGCCACGCTTGAGGGACACTGTTGAGGGCCAGGGTACCGTGCCTCTTTCTCGGTACTCGTAGGTGTAGAATGTTCAGAATACTCAAAGTGGCAAGAGAGGAGTTCGTTCATCACTCAGGACTACGTTCCCAAAGGGTCCTCAGTAATGGTCGAATGTAGGGTTCCTGTAGTAGGGATGACTAGTATGATCTGGGAAAGCATTCCCCATACAGTGCCTAGGACAATCTGGGATTAGGGTTCTAAACCCCAAACCCTAAACCCTAAACCCTAAACCCCTAAACACTAACCCCCAAACCCTAAAATCTTAAACCCTTGGTGGATTTTGGACATCTGGCGATTGTAGGATGTGGCATTGGGCCTACGATCTCATGCCTTGGAGCTTAGGGCTTGGGATGTTGAGCTTCGGGGTTGGCTTCCTTAAACTTAAACCCTGGTTTAGGGTTTAGGGTTTAGGGTTTATAAGCTCCCTAAACCCCTTTTCGGTGCCCGAAGTATCAGTTAGTACATGTTTGATCTAATTTCAGAGTACGGTGTAGTGCCATCGACAAGGACTGTCCTTCGGCAGAACACTGGAACACTTCGTAGAATGTGGCATGAACGACGTGTGCGGATCCTTGCGTGGTACAGGATAGCGGCACCTGCACTTCGTGATGCCAACTACTTCACACTGCACAAGGGATGATGAGTGAGCACCTGCAGCCCCATGCCCTTCAAAATAGTAGGTTAATATGATCCATACATGGGTAGTTGTCAAAATTATGGTCCCTTTTGGGGTACAATAAATAATAGGTGCCGTATTATAATAAGGACCCAAAAAGGGACCCTAATTTTGACAACGACACACTTGCAGTAGGTTTGGGGAATCCCGCGTAGTGACTGTTACGACCCATTGACTATAGGGTGTAGCCCCAGAACGTATCTGGGTCCTTGTTGGCCACAATTTTACATTTTTGTTATACTAAAAACCCAATAGGGATTACAAATGATCATTCTTCATGCAGCCCCCAACAGGGAACCAAATATGGTAATGGGATCCCCAAGGACACCCCCGAACATGGCAGGCAAGTATCGCCAGCGCCTTGCTCAGAGCAGCGGCGTGAGTAGCTCGAGGCCCTTCTTACTCATCCTTTCCAGCACTTAATATGGGGGCCTTAATAATTAGAATAGGGTTTTGGGGCCCATTATACTATAAGTGCAATAAGGAACCCCCCAAATAAGATAGGTAATGCTTCAAGGCCACTACATTAAGAGGTTCAGCGCTCGCTCGGTATAGGGTTTTTAAGGTCTAGGGTTCAGGTTCGGGCGGCCGTGGAGTATTGTGTCGGCTTCCTGGGGCTTGTACCTATAGAAACATACCGCCCCATGTAGAGACCCATAGAAGTCCCTCATGCGCTTTCTAAACTCATACAGACCTCATGAACCCTAAACCCTACCCAAGGCTTTAAGTTGTATCTTTAAGTGGTCTGGCGCAGTTTGAAAGGGCTTTGTGCCAGGCTCTTCTTAGAGGAAGAGAGAGACAGAAGCAAATAGCAAATGCTGTATGTATGTATGTATGTATGTATGTATGTATGTATGTATCCATACATACATGCATGTATGTGTGTATGTCTGTACCTACGTGTGTAGATATACATAAACATGTACAGACACGCATACATACACATATATACATATACATACATAATAGTTGTTGTAGCTAGATAGCTGGATAACTAGATAGATAGATGAATATATAGATAGATCCATAGATAGGTAGACCGATCGATAGGTAGATCGATCGACAGATAGATTGACAGATAGATCGAGAGATCGATAGGTCGATATATAGGCAGATAGGTAGATAGATAAACAGATAGATAGATAGATAGATAGATAGATAGATAGGTATACAGATCTTTTTATATCAACATCACGTGTGTGTGTATCTCTATGTATGATCTCGGAGTAATTTTCGGGTCTGCAAAAAACGGCAGGCTGAGATTCTAGTGAAAGCTGGCATGTGCACCCCGGGCTTTTGCTAAGGAAAGTAGTTGAAGTTGCAGTAACAGTTGCAATTTGTCTTCAATAATTCTGTTTTTGCTTCTGCTAAAAACTAGCCACCCTAAACCCTAAACACTAAACCCTGCTGCTAAAAGCAAGCCGCTTCAGCAGACGCATGTCCCCAACCCCTGCTAATATGGAGGCCTACGGACGTAGGATGACGTTTCAAGGTACGTTATACCGCAATCAATGTGTTAGGGAACAATATGTAGCGTGGGTTTAGGGTTTAGGTTTCATGTCGGTCCGAAGCCCTAGACCCCTGCCGCTTTTCGCGAGCCGAGATGCTTGTAGAAACCCGAGCACAGGGACCTGGCGTTGCACGCTTCCGAGTTCTGATCTATCGGTCTGAACAATTTTGTGTCGCTATTTCTTAGTGTTCCTTTATGGGAGTTTCCGAAAATAGGGGACCCTAATATAGTACCCGAAATAGTAGGATCCTTATTATAAGGACCCCCAAAGAAGGTACCCCTTATTTTTGGAAACTCTCTTATATCTAATGATTCTACTTTACAGTAAGGTTAAGTATGCCCCAAAGCCGAGTTCGACTTGCTGAGGCCCCTATATTCGGCTAGGTTGCAACGTTTAGGACGACAAGGCTTGCGGGATTTCAGATTCGGGGGCCCTAAACCCTAAATTTTGAATGACTATATGGGAGTTTCCAAAAATAGGGGGCCCTAATATAGTACCCCAAATAGTAGGATCCTTATTATAAGGACCCCAAAATACGGTACCCCTTATTTTAGGACACTCCCATATGGGTCTTTGGCAATTCGAGGGTTTCGATGCAATGAAGGCATCGCTTCTTTCAGGCTCAGGGCGAGGGTTCAGAGTTACTTCGGCGTTTCTATGCGCGCCTCAAGCATCAGAGAGGGTTTAGGGTTTAGGGTTTAGGGTTTAGGGTTTAGGGTTTAGGGTTTAGGGTGTAGGGTTTAGGGTTAGCGTGTCGGGACATTACATAGTACGTTATAAAGGTTTCAAGGAACTCCATGGGATAGTGTTGGGACTTATTCAGGATCCTGGTGTTCTCTATACAAACACCCACATCCTAAGAGTGCTGATCCTTCTACACTTGTCAAGCTTGAAGCCTAAACTTAAACCTCAAGAGCCTAGATTCTGCCAAGACCTAAACCCTAAACCCTAAACCCTAAACCCTAAACCCCTAAGACCGCTGATGGTTTCTTTTGGAGTTTAGCATCTCGGGGTTTCTCATCGTCTTGCGCTCGGAACTAGGTACGGGTTTGGGATACTTCTAAAGTCGAAATGTAATTTACCCTAGAGTACCTATATCTAAGAACAGCTTCCGGGCCGTTGAAATCGGACCTTGTAGGACTACAACCCTAAGAGGGTTTTGAGTCGGACATTCCTCTGAACCCCAAACCCTGCTAGAACCCTTATATAAAACGCTTCAAGAGCCTGAACAATTCAAGGCACCTTGGTACGGAACCCTAAACTCTAAACCGTGCTGGCAGGGCGTTTGAGTCAGACATTGGCAAGAAGATCCTGATGAAGTACGGCTGGAGCGAAGGCGAGGGGAGATCGTCAGAGAGAGCTTCATGCTTTTAGGGACAAAAGGATTCGGGTTTAGGGTTTAGGGTTCAAGGCTAATGTCGTTGTTGGTGCCCGGGCTTGTGTGTTTGATGTTCATGTTTGGGGTCCAGTCTCCGGGCCAATCATTTTGAGATAGAGCCCATGGCTGCCAGCCCTATAACCCTGGTGCCCCAGTTTAGGCAAATCGCAAGTTGAGAAGTGTAGCATTCTGTGCTCTCCATTAAATTAAGCGGCCCGCCTTGTGCAAAAGCCCTCCCTTAGCCTGCACTCCCTGTTTGAGAGTGTTCGGGCAATGAAGACCATCAACAAAGACGCATGACTACGATCCTCCTTAACCCCCATAAACCTACTTTTTAAAGGACTTCGGCAAAGAAATGATGATAAGGAGCCCAGAAAAGGTAGACTATTTGGGTCCAGGCTGGTTTTGAAAGTAAAGGCCCGAGATAACTTCGACTCTTTGGTATGGTACCGTTATAGTGGTTTCAAAAACAACGGACTCGCCAGTCAGGGGCTGAGGGTTCAGGGTTAAGCGTGTTGAGGGTTCAGGGTTTAGGGCCAAGTCCTTACATGGACTTAGCACAGGGACATCAATAAGTAAGCGCTTTGGTTTCATGGAAATTCTCGAGTTCTTAGGCGTGCATGAGGGATTCAAGGCGCGAAGGACGCAATTATGTTAGAGACTTTGCACCCATGGCAAAACACATCGGGCATTGTTGCTGAACGGTATTCGAAACGAACTAGACACGCGACAGAGCTTTGGTTGTGAGGCTTTTCCTACCAAGCTAAAGGCTATGCTGCACCTTACAGTGCCATAACCCACTCTTGTGCAGCATTTCAGTATAATCCCTAGAATAAGGTTTATAGGGACCCTACAAACAAAGTGGGTTTTGGTAGTTCCGGGTAGCCTTCCTAAAGATGCCGTGAACAACTTTCGGCCGAGGAGACACAAGGGATTCCGTCGAAGAACCTAGGGGCCTCAACGAATCTTAGGTAAGAGGGGTGAGGGGTTTAGGGTTAAGGGGTTTAGGGTTTAGGGTTTAGGAGTGTAGGGTTTAGGAGTGTAGGGTTTTGGGGTTTAGGGTTTAGGGGTTGGTTTAGGGTTTAGGGGTTGAGGGTTTGGGGTTTAGGGGTTTAGGGTTTAGTAGCCATCCCCAAGCGCTCCCTCAAACCTCTTCCGACTATTTATTTCCGCCACACCGCGCCAGCGCGACAAGGACACCAGAAAGCCCCCCAGTAGGGCCTTCTTCATGCGGAGACGCCCATCAAACCCGGGCATGAATCATCATGATTCCTAAGACCTCAAACCTGCACTCCGCCTCCACCTGCTCCCTCTCTGAAAGGATCGGGCTTCGGGCTTCAAGGTTTCAGTTGTTGGGGTTTGAAACCCTAAACCCTAAACCCTACTTCTCTTTGGGGCTTCTTTGCTGCTGCTACGCCCTCAGCCGCCAAGGCCTCTAATGGAACATGAAAGCGCCAAACCCCAAACCCTAAACTCTATAAACTCTAAACCCTAAACCCCTAAACCCCCAAGCCCTAAACCCCTAAACCCCCAAACCCTAAACCCTAAACTCTAAGCCCCCTAAACCCTAAGCAAAACCCTCAAACTACATCCCAGACCTTCGGCCCATAGCTCCGTTTTAGTCAGGACAGGGATTGGGTCGGCTGAAGAATGGACGCACCGAGTGCATCCAGGCCTTTTGGTTTAAGGCTTCGGGTTTAGGGTTGTTGTTGTTGAAGGGTTTAGGGTTTAGGGTGTTTTGGGATTTAAGGTCTAGGTTTGTTTTTGAGGGTTGAGGGTTTAGGGTTTGTTTAAGGGTTTAGGCTGTATAGGGTTTGCAGTGTTTAGGATGGTTTTGGGTTTTTGTTGGGTTAAGGGTTGACCCCAGCCAGGTTCTGGGATTTCGGAGTTTAGGGTTTGGGGCTTGGGCACTCGGGGTTCGGGTTAATGGGCGTACTATAGGAGCCTATAGGGTTCCTTATTATAACTATAGTATCGTATACCCCAAAACCCTGTTCTAATTATGACTAAGGCCCCTACATTAGCATTTAAGGCTCATTCCGCGTTGCTTTTGCTGGGCCTGCTAAGGTTTTCCCAGCCGTTGATGACAACGTTTTTCGAGGGCGTTGTCGTGGATTTACGGGGGTCTTTCAGACTCATGATTTAGAGGCGCTACTGGGTGTTGTAGATTCTGATTTGGTTCTGTAGGTTGTGGCAGAAGGGACTTCACATGTGGTATCCGAGTTAGATAGTAGAGGCATGGTGGCATAGTTAGTTCCTGTGGTAACAGGGGGTTCAGAATTTTCTACGTCAGTGACCCGATCTCCATCCAGCTCTCGCTGTGGTTAGCTGGTTTTGTTATAGACCACTGTGTTCGCTGCACCATCGATCCCACGAACACTCCACCTGAAACCCCACACCTTAACCGGCTGCTCCGATAATGTAGATTCCTGGTTCACCCTAAACCCTGAACCCCTTAAAGCAGGCTCCTTAATGAGAGCGACCGGAAAACCCTGTGAGACCTTACAATCCCCTCTAGCGAAGCTCGTGAGCAAGAGCCCGGCTTGAGGAACTCACGCACTAAGTGGAAGGGGTGGAGTCCATTGGTTGCTTGGGGTAATTTTGAGGCATTGAAGGGTTTCGGGGGGGATATATTATGGACTATTATCACATAACCGACAAGAACCATAACGGGATACTTCCGATCCCTACATTCTTGGGTTCAGTCGAAGGTATACATCTAACTACCTATAAAATACATATACATATTATATGTGTATATATATATATATAGATAGACATACATACATATATCTATCGTTGAAGCCCTATGGTCGAAGCTCTCAAGCTCTACGGGATCGGTGTTTCGGACATAATATAGGGGCCTAAGAAATTTACTATTGCGGGGTTCCTTATTCCATGTATAGCATAATGGACCCCCAAACCCAGTTCTACCTATTTAGGCCCCCCTAAACCCTAAACCCTAAACCCTAAACCCCTAAACCGTCCTATACTAGGATGTTCAGGGTTTGGAGCGGGTGTTCGACCTAAGGTTTTTTAGGGCGTGGAGTTCGGGTTCGGGCTTTTGAGGTCTGGAGGTCTAGGCCCGAAAACACCTAAGCCACAAACCAAAAACCCTAAACCTAAACCCTAAACCCTAAACCCTAAACCCTAAACCCTAAACCCTAAAACCCTAAACTTTCCCTAAGACCTAGACCCTAAAATCCTAAACTCCTAGACTCTAATCCTCTCGCCCTTTGCCTCCCAATAGAAGCAAGAAGGTGAGAAGTTCGAGGGTTTAGGGCTTTTAGGGCCTTTTAGGGCGTTTAGTGCTTTTAGTGCTTCTAGTGTGTTTAGGGCTTTTACGGCTTTTCTGGGTTTTAGGGGTTTTGGGCTTTTTGGGTTTAGTTTAGGGGGTAGTTTAGGATTCCGATATCGCACAACCCACAAAGGGACTCCAAACCGTACATGCTACCCCAAACCCTAAACTAATATGGGGGCTTAAATAATTACCAGCACTATTTTGGGGGTTCCTTCTTATAATCATAGTAAAAGGGGCCGCAAAACCCTATTCTAATTTTTAAGGCCCCTGTATTAGCCCGTTTTGGCTCCGACGCCCCACTCTGATCTGAACAAGCCCAAGACGCCTACTCCGACCCCCCCAGCTAGCCCTGAGCCTAACCTTAAAGGGTCCATGTACTTAAAGAGGACCTACATTGGCCCCAGAGTACCTATTTAGGGATTACCTTATGGCCAAAGTCTCTACTATTTGGTACATGGACTCTTAGGGTAAGTTCTATGTCCTAAAGTCAAAACACCCCACCCTTGAAACACCGCTGAAGCCGTAAGCCCGAAGCCCTGGGATATCCCATACGGAACCCTGAAGTTTAGGGTTTTAGGGTTTAGGGTTTAGGGATTTTAGTTTTGAGCCGTAGGATCTGTTCGTTGTAACCCTAAAGCATGCCTTAATGCACCCTGCCAGCACCATCATTTATTTAGTAGGGCCCCTGTAAAGCTTCAGAAGCAAACTTGAGGCAACTTACTATAGTACACCCTGAACAGTAGGATCCCCACAGTAAAGATTCAGGTCATGAGACCCAAAACCCAACGGCCACCTAAAGCCACACAAGTAGTAAGATAAAGAATGGCCCAACACCTAGGAACAGCTACTCTTCTACATCCTTATAGGGTCCAGGTAGAGTTTGGGGGACCGGGGACAGCATTGAATCCGAATCCTAATCCCTAAGCCCTAAACCCTAAACCCCAAATCCCCCCCCACCCCCCCCAGAGTCAGACCTAGAGCACAAAGCCTGTCTCGGAGGCCGAGAGGCGCGAGGACAAGAAAGGCACCGATCTGTGGTTCTTAGTATCTCAAACTGGGTTGAATCGGCCGTTTTTAACTTTTTGTTAATGGGGTGCTATAGCGGTTGAAGGGTTTTGGAGCGATTTTTGGAGGGTTTCCGGCGAGGATGCCCGAGCTGACCTCCTTGATTCTAAGTAACATGGAACCTGAGGCGGGTCTGTTACAGACTACTGTCCCTGCAAAAAACTCTTATGTCGTAGACACAGTCTGCTTCTCGGGATTGTATGAGGTATTTCACGTGCCTTATAAGGCGACAGGCAGGTAGAAGGGCATTATAAGGTTGTGCGGTGCATTTCATCAAGGATTTCTTGATCTTCGTGGTGCATTATTTTCATGGGTCAGGTCAGGCTCCTGCCTGGCCTGCACTTGTGCATGGCGACGGTGCTCGAGCAAGGGATCATCTCGCCGGCGTTCCTGCATGAATAGCATGTGGTTCTTAGAATGGCGGAGCCAAGCACAAAGAACATCAGCGAGCGGCTGGCCCAACACCTGGCCCAACGTGTGTGTGGGGTGCAGTCGGGCACAGCCTGCAATGGAGATCGCGGGCATCTGGGCTCCTTCACCTGGCCTGCGTGTTCACGAGCCCAACATGAAAGTGCACCCAGCGGCTCAATCCCTGGCGACAGAAGAACCACTTGCTCAGCGAAGCGGTCTGCGCCTGTGAGGATCCTTACACAAAGACCCTAGAGACCCGCTTCAATCTACAATTTATTTTGCCGGGTTTCAGAAAGACTGACCTCCTACCAGGTTAAAGGCTTATGGATGTTCAGGGTTGGGGCTGTGAGTTCTGCCGTTCACAAGGGGTCTCCCGCTTCCCCCATGATTCCTGGAGCATGAACCCCGACCCGACAGAGCCGCCCCCCGCGGGTTTAGGGTTTAGGGTTTAGGGTTTAGGGGTTTAGGGTTTAGGGTTTAGGGTTTAGGGCCGCCCCCCGCCGTGCTTTTGTCCGGAGGAGGATTGGGATCTTACAGGCCCGGAAACCACAAATTTGATATTTGCAGCTGCCCTTCTAGAGAACAAAAAAGGGCAACGGTGTTGGAGGCAATACAGGATGTGATGTACTGCTGGGCCCTGAAACAGTTCAAGTTCCAAAACACATAGGTCATTTTAAAGGTATCCATGTAGATAAACCGCAACTTTTCTCAATAACGAAGCCTCGAAAATCCATCCTGAATCCGACCGCCACAGTCTCTGAAGCTGCAGCCGCTTTCGGTTTGAGGCTAGGGCTTTAGGATTTAGGGCACGGGCTTTAGGGCTTTAGGATTTAGGGTTTAGGGTTTAGGGTTTTAGAGGTTTAGGGTTTTATAGGGTTTAGGGTTTAACAGGTTTAGGGTTTGGGGTTTGGGCTTTCTGCTAGCAGAGCAGCAGAACGGCTTGGAGAACTTGGGGCGGGCGACTGGAGAAGTTATGAGGTGTTGGCCTTAAAGTAAGTAGTCCCTATATATAGGTACTTTGGGGCCAATGTATATACTATATACGTACATGGACCCTTAGGGTTCTATTTTCCCAAACTTCAATGACGAACAGGTGTGCTCCGGTAGACAGGGGATTTGGGTTTCCACATAGTGCTCCTGGCTGTCATTATCTGGGGCTCAAGCAATGCAGTTCAAGAGAGCCGCTAGGTTTGTTGGTGAACCTAATGTAGACGCCTTAATGATTAGAATAGGGTTTTGTGGTATATTGTACTATCATTATATAATAAGGAACCCCCAAAATAGTAGTATAGGTAGTTATCAAGGCCCTGTATCGCCGAAACCAAGAGTTATTCAACCCTAAAACCCTGAGGCTCCAAACCCCACCTACCCCTAACATCATTCCTCTGAAGCCTAAACCCTTAAACCGTAAACCCAAAAGCCGAAACAAAACCCTCCAGATTATTGTCAAACAAAGTCCCAAGCTGCCGAAGCCGAGAGTTCAGCAGAGGCCTCGGCATTACGAAGCGAAAATCCGAGGCCTGTCTGGGTTTGGGGTTTGGGGTTCAGGGTTTAGGGTTTAGGGATTTGGGGGGTTTGGGGTTTAGGGTTCAGGGTTTAGGGTTTAGGGGTTTAGGGTTTAGGGGTTGAGGGTGTTGGGGGGTTTGGGGTTTAGGTTTAGGGTTAAGGGTTTCCAGCAGGACCCTGGAAGGGTTCTGCCATACGGGTAGTTCTCTGAACTAGGGTCCTCTTAAACCCTAAACCCTAAACCCTAAACCCTAAACCCTAAACCCTTATGAAAGGGGGCCGTACTAGTTTGGGAGATAACTACCTAAATGCGTGCTTCTTTTGGGGGTTTAGGGTTCGGGGACTTCAAGGTTCCCAGGGACCTTAATGGTATGGGGGTATACTATAAGGTTTAGGGTTTAGGGTTTAGGGTTTCGGGTTAGGGTTTAGGGTTTAGGGTTTAGGGTAGTAGACTCGTAAAAGGGAGCCTAAGATGCAGTATTGGTAAGTCTTCAGGCGCCCATTTCTTTTGGGGTGTTACCTATTCATTTGGGTGTCCTTGAGTGCCAGCAGTCTGTGCCGCAAACTATGGTCACGGGTCGCCATCGCCTAGAGGCTGAGTGGACTCGAAAAGCATGATGTAACCTATATTATGTGGGGGGGGATCCTTATGATAGTTATACTATAAAAGGCCCCCCAAACCCTAGTCTAATTAAATTATTCAGGCCCCTACATTAGACTTAGAAGTGGTATAAACACCCTGCAATCACGGCATCGGACCCCCAAAGAGATGATCTACTTACCAAGCCTTACCCCCAAACCTTAACCCACATGAGGGTTTATGGAGCTTAACATCCCAGCCCTAAGTCGTATAGTGTCCTATACTAACCTTCTCCCCTCAATCTTACAGGAATAGGAATCAAGGCGTGGAATATGAAAAGCGTTTGTAAAATTCTTTGTAACAGTAATTATCGGTTTCCGTATTGTCTCTATTGTCACTTGGGGCGATCCTGCTCTTGCTCCGGCTATTGCTCGTGCTCTTGCTTTTGCTCCTGCTCTTGTTTTTGCTCTTGCTCAAATCCAAAGCCTCAAGCCCCAAAACTCGTAGAAGACTCTGTTGACAAGTTCACAGAACAAATGTGCACACCTAGACAGAGTATAGCAAAAACGATGGCAAAACCGCCATGCACAATCATAAACACTGAAAGTTAAAAGCCTTAAGCTCTAAATGCCCCAAACCCTAAACCCTAAACCCTAAACCCTAAACCCTAAACCCTAAACCGGCCCTAGAGTCCGCCTCTGGACAAGGAGCAGTGGGACAACTGGTGGGCAGATTGCTTCAACAGCGTGGCCACAGACTTACCAAGCGGACCTAGCGTTTCAAGCGTTAAGGGCAAGTCGTCTTTGGAGCTGTTGCGGTGTTAGCTTAGTGTTTAGTGTGGCTTTAGTGTGAGTCGGACTTTGTTGTGTATAAGCTTATAGACACTAAACCTTAAACTACATCCTAAACCCATAACCCAGAGCCCTGTTGGAGTAATTTCACAGGGACTTCAGGCTCTGCTAGGTTCATGGCGTGTTGTTTTGGGAGGACTGTTACTGTTGATTCCGTTTTCTTAGGGGTCTCTGGGTTCCCACTCTACTCCAAATCCTGTGGAGTACGTGGGCGGAGGGAAAACGACGTTTGAGAATGAAGGGTTTTTGGGTTTATAGAATCGTCCAGGCAACGATTCATGGTATTCGCCACACTTCATGCTCGAAAACACTGTTAGTGTGTTCTTCTCTTCAGCCAAACTACTGACTTCTCGAAGCCTTCTAGTAGAAACTCCTACACCGCCAGACCTACACCACCAACCAAACTCTAATCTTTTAGAATGCCATATATAGTGGCCTGACGAGCAAACAAAATTCCTGAGTGCCCCTCCTTAAGCTTAATATACTGTACCTCAGAACATAAGTCTAGTTAGTCTAGGGCCGGAACCCTAAACCCTAAACCCTAAACCCTAAACCCTAAGCCACCAGCTATGTGTCGGGAGTGGAGGGACAGCTGCTCGGCTGATGTTGGCTTCTTCCTGTCTTCCCAGAGACTCCAATATCCCTAAACTAAGGAATATAGTAGGATCTCTAATCTGATTTAAGGTATATTCCTTAGTTAAGGTGTATTGGAGTCTCTGGGTTCCTTGACGTCGACTTCCGCACTGATGGAACTCTTTGGTCTCCCTTGGAGGCTGCAGAAGGCTCCCGTGGATGCCCTCGGACTGCCGCAACTCGTTGATGCAAGCTCGCAGGAGCCTGACGAAGTTGGGCAAACGCTCGGAGTTGTGGGACTCCGTCCATGCCGGTCTGCAGCTGCTCCAGACACACGGCAGCCGTAACATGATGTTAAGCTTCGATAAAAAAATGTGACCTTCCCGACCTTCAGCATGATGCAGGATGAGCGAGGCTGCTGGTTCATCGGCGTTCATCTGAAACCTTTACTTTAAAGTTGTTTGTAGGATCCAGATTTTTCTACCTGAGACTCCCTGTAGATCCCTTTTGACTCGTGAAATCCCAACCCTGAAAAATCCGAAACCCTCATCATAATAGCCTTTTCAAGCCCGTTAAAGAGCCCTGGTTTAGGGTTTAGGGTTTAGGAGCCCTTGTACGCGCACTTATCAAGAGCCTCTTATCAAGCCCGTATAAATCCTTATTTAAACCTCAATGTAGAACCCACGTTCAAGGGTCCATGATAGCCAAATAGTATATACTTCGGCCCTAAAGTACCAATATAGGGACTACTGTAAGGCCTAAGTATATACTATTTGGGCGCATGAGCCCTTACAGAACACTAATCCCCTTGTCAAGCCCTTAGAGAGACCTGATAAACAAATCCTTATAAAGCCCTCATAGAACACGAATAGGGCCCCAAACCGCTAAACAAAGGGCCCTTGATTACAGAGCCACCTTGTAATCCCTAAACTTTAAACCCTAAACCCCTAAGCCCTAAACCCCCTAAACCCCGTAAAACCCCTAAGCCTTAATCCCCCATCCTCTGCACACGAGGCAAAGTCGATCTCAGTGAAGGCAGGGGCCGAATCACCGCAGAAGGCGGGGTACCGCTGGGCTCGATCACAGCCCATGCGCATATGGGGTTTCCGAAAATAAGGGTACCTTATTTTGGGGTCCTTATAATAGGGATCCTATTATTTAGGGTACTATATTAGGGTCCCCTATTTTCGGAAACCCCCATATCACAATCAGTCTCGAAATCCAGTATCTGCAACACCACTATCGATAGTCAAAGTAGGACCGGCTTGTAAGTTGAGTAGGACAACATGAGAACAATGCCGCGAGCATTCGTCGTGAAGTTTGTGATAGCTGATTCAGCGGCGCAGCACCCACCAGATGTTCAAGCACTGTTTGCCACATGGCTGCCTTGTCTCGAAAACGATGAAGGCAAGCGAGTCGAGCGACAGCAGTGACGAGGATGCTGACAAGAAGGCGACGTTGAGATTCTTGCAACCCATACGTCGGGACCAGAACCGAAGTAGTCTAGTGTGAACGAGCGTGGGTAAACAGTCATCTCAGTCATCTCATAGATTAGCTCCTTCAAATCATCGTCGTCGAGGCCATATTATAGTGTTCAGGTTCCGACCCGATGCTACGAGCAAGGATGCCAGAGCAGATAATATAAGGGGCCTTCACAATTAGAATAGGGTTTTGCGGCCCATTATACCCCAATTATAATAAGGAGCCCCAAAAACAGTATTGGAAATTGTTCAGGCCCATACATTAGCAGCAGTTTCGCACTTCAAGGCCACTGCAACCCACTCTGATACGCTAGCTAGCTGTCAACAAAGTCCGCACAGCTGCCCGATAGGCCGTGACAGGCAGCCTTCGCACCTCTCTAAGGTTAAAAGTATGGGCCCCTAATATGGGCTTTTAGGCCTTTTTGGGAGGATTCTAGGGACCCTTAAGGGTACATATACGGTAAATAGTAGGTGTATAAGGATCCCAGGGATAAGGGCCCATACTAGGGGCCCATGGTTTCAACCTTGGAACCTCTGCATCACGACTGAATAATGTAGGGGCCTAAACTTTCAACAATTACCAGTTCTATTTGGGGGTGTTTCTCATTATAAGTACAGTATAAGGGGGCCCAAAACCCTATACTAATTATTAAGGCCCCCATACTAAACCCTAAACCCTATACCCCTAAACCCTTATTGTTACCTTGGGTCGAGGGCGAGCAAAGGGAGCCCTTGCAACCTCAGCATTTCTGACGACCCCCAGTCCGAACAGAAGTTGTTCATGCCATGTTGCCGCTCTAGGGTTTAGGGTTTAGAGTTCAGGGTAATAATTAGAATAGGGTTTTGGGGCCCAACATACGATCAATACAATAAGGAGCGCCAAAAATAGTGTTGTTAATTATTTAGGCCCTACATGACCTTCTTTGTGCCTCCGCTCACAGGGAACAGGGTTCACCCAAGAAGGACCTTCCCCACGCGGTTTGCCATTGCCATTGTAGATGTATGGACTGTGCTCCGCCCCCTGTAACGGCATGAGACTTGATAAGAGATCTACCGAATCATAGTCGCAGAGTACTCCGAAATCATCGACCGAGGACATAAACAAAGTCCTGGCAGCACTGTTGCGAATCGTATCTGTCAGGCCCTGGTGTATGCAGTGCAGTAGGCATCATCTACATGATCTCACGAGCATTCGGGTGTAGGGCTGCTTGGCACCAGGAGGGAGGGCGAGTTACGGCTGTGAAGAAGGCCGGCGTCGCTACCTCAGCCGTGTTGCATCGAGGGCCATCCACGAAGTGCCAAACTCCGAATCCGGATAGCCTAAATACAGTAGTTATCTAGAGGCTTTACACCCAAAGCAGTTTTTTGTTGGATAGCTTGAAGTCTTAGCTTCAATACGAAACCCTACATACATCGAAGTCCTAATTCGCGCTAAAGGCCTGAAAATATGGTTCTGCGCCCCGAAGGCGTTTCAACACATGCGTCCTAAAAAAGCAATGGAAAAGCTGGGTCCTTCATCCTAACAAAAACCTAAAGCAGATCCCTTTAGCTATTGTTGAAGAATCAGCAACAGGGGTAGTTTCAGGCGATGCCAAGTAAACTGAACCAGTCAGCCGTCTTGGTCCATCTTGGTCCTAAACTTAACAAAAAACCTTCAACCCCTAAACCCCACAACCCTCAAGCACACAAAAGCCCCCAAACCTGATAAGCTCCATCACTGCGTACCACCCCAACAGCTTTAAAACTAAACCACTAAACCCTGTAAACCCTGAAGCCTTACAAACTCTGTAGACAATAGCAGCAATAAACGAGGAAACCCTTATTCAGACAAACAAAGACAGCCTGATCCTTGAGGCCATGGCCGGAAAGTTGCGCCGCGTCTTGCGGCAGGACAGTGCCGGCCTCAGGGATTTTCTTTCAGTAGATTCTCTGTAAGGGTTCCTTTTTAAAGGGGCTCTAAAAAACTTAATGGAGGGGCCTAAAAAATTACCTACATTATTTTGGTGGTCCCTTATTACTTTTATAGGATCAAGGGGCCCCCATACCCTATTTTAATTGCTAAGGCCCCTATGTTCCCCCGGTCTAGGATGGCTTAGGGTCTAGGGGTTAGGGGTCGAGGGTTCTTAGGGATTTAGGGTTCAGGGGTTGCGATTTCTGTATTGGGCCTTACAACATCGTTTTGAAGTGTTCAGCTTCGGTTCTGCATGGTTCTTGTGGGGTTGAGTCTACCCAAATACATGTTCGAGCCAGTCTATGCACCGATACAGAGTACCCTAAACCCTAAACCCTTGTCTTGGGGCCAAAACCCTCCTAGTTTATATATATATATATATATATATTTATGCGGCCTCCTTAACTCCAGTGCCTAAACCCTAAATTCAAATTGGGATCTTGAGGCGAAACGTCACAACCCGAATGCGCACAGCCCTAAACACCAAAGGCTAGAGCCCCAAAGCTTAAGAGTTTAGTTTAGGGTTTTAGGGGTTTGGAAGTATTTCGGCTTTTTGTCGGAGTCGGTGAGCAGGAGTTCCGCTAAACTCGACCCGGAATCCTAGCATTCTCAGGCCGAGCAGACCTGAAGCAAAAGCAGATAAAGAGGATGGCAAACAAGGAATTGGATGTTGTTGCTGCTGCTGGTGTTGATTATGGTTTATATATGCTGATATTGCAGGACTTTGGGTTTAGGGTTTAGCGTTCAGGGATGTTTGGGGTTTAGGGTTGATGATGATCGTAGTTGCGGTTGTGATGAGGGTGGTTCCTGACGGGTTGAAGGTTCTAGGTAGTATTAGGGAGACCCCTTAAAAGGGGACCCTTCTTCGCTCTACTCCTGGTGTCTTAAAAGGGACCTTATTGAAAGGGTCTATATCCCCTGGCCCAAGGGTCCCCCTAATTCTAAACCCTAACTCCTAAACCCTAAACCCCTAAATCCAGGACCCCTAAACCCTAAACCCTAATCCTAACTCCCACTTACAGTAACCTGGCAGTATCCCTCAAGATCCCAACTTCTAGCGGCAGGAGCATACTTTTCTGGCCCCAAGCCCTCAAGCAAACCATAAACCCTAGAAAGCCAAAGCCTCAAGCCCAACCGTAAACCACAAATCCCAAAATCCTAAGCCCCAAACCCTCATAACCCTAAGCCCTAATCCTTCAAAATCCAAGCCCTAAACCCTCAAAATCCTAAGCCCTAAACCATCAAAATCCTAATCCCTAAACCCTCAAAATCCTAAGCCCTAAACCCTCAAAATCCTAAGCCCTAAACCCCCAATCCTAAACTGCTTTGAGCCTGCACCTCCGAGGTAGGCCAGCCATATAAGCCTTCCTCAAGGCCCCCTGCTGGGGCCTACGGGGGTTTAGGGTTTAGGATTTAGGGTTTAGGGTTTAGGGTTTATGGGGCTTATAGGGCTCAATAGGGTTTAGGATTTAGGGTTTAGGGTTTATAGGGCTTATACGGGCTGCTGTAAGGGTCCTGGGTAGCTCTATAACAGTAGAATGTAGGGTTTAGGGTTTAGGGTTTCTATATTGGGAAGGAACGAATACTATAATTTGGGAAGGCATCCCACATACCAGTACCTAGGACTCTTTGGGATAATACGCCTTATAGCTGCATAAACCCAATTCTAATTAGTTGTCAAGGCCAAACTAGAACTTGGAATCGCTGCCGCCGTAAAGTCCTCGAGCGTCGTAGGGCTCACGGCTGAAGGATTTCTAAATTTCAGCCCACAGCACATTGAGTGCTTCACGGTTTTAGTGTTCAGGCTCTGGGACTTAGGACGTAGAGCTTTGGGGTTAGCGCCTTCGACTGTTCATCTGGCAGACAAAGTCAAAAGCTCGAAGCCTTCAATGCCGGAGAAAATGCAGAGGCCTCATCGATCCGTACTAAACTAAACCCACTTTGAACTACAGCTTTCTGGCAAAGGTCTTTAAGATCAATTTCTCCAAAAGCCCCAGGCCCTGCGAAGATTAAAACCCAAAACTCAGCTCTCAACCTGAATTCGATTATCACTACTAGTACTACTGGTACTACTACTACTACTACTACTACTACTACTACTACTACTACTCCTGCTGCTGCTGCTGCTGCTGCTACTACTACTACTACTACTACTACTACTACTACAACCCGAAAGCAACAAACTATCCCCAACCCTCAACGCCCGAAGCCCCTAAAACACCGAAACCCTAATCCTTCAACCCCCAAAGCCCTGAGGGTGTAGGGGTGTAGGGGGGTTTAGGGTCCCTAAACCCTTCCGTGCAGAAGCGCAGGGAGTGACCTCAGCCTTTCTTTTGCCCAGATCAAATGCCCTTTGAGCGACTGGAGCCGAAGTCTAAGATGGTTTAGGGCTGATAGTTTAGGGTTTAGGGTTTAGGGCTGATAGGTGTTAGGGTCGAGGATTTAAGGCTGATAGGGTTGAGGCATCTGCGGTTGATAGGTTTCGGGGTTCAGGGGCTCATGTCCATGTGCTTTATTGTCTTACAAGGCCTGTCTCTGGCGTTTATAGATGAGCATGCTTAAAACGAAGTCTTGAGAACGTTTTCACAATTGTCACAAATTAGGGCTTTATGGTTTTGGGGTTCGGGCTCCAAGTCGGGCTTGTGCATGTTAAACGGTTTAGGATTTAGGGTGTAGGGGTTCGGGTTTAGGTTTCGGGGTTAGTGTTTAGGGTTTAGCAGTTAGGATTTGGGACTAGGGATTGGCCCACGAAACACCGGAATTCCTTCATTCGAGTGTGAGGCGTTCGGATTCGTGTTCGGGCTTCGGTTTCAGGTCTAGCGTTTACATAGAATTGCGGTGATGCGCGTGAGGCTTTGAGTTTTGAGGTTTTGGTTCGAGCTGTTCGAAGAAATGTTGCCGCTGCAGTTGTGTAGAGTGGGCACCAGTCAGAAAGTCATGCTGCCTCTGGTGGCCTTCTAAAGCCGCTCAAACCCTAAACCCTTAACCCCTCTAAACCCTAAACCCCTAAACCCGAAACCCTAAAACCCTAAACTCCTAAAGCCCTAAAACCCTAAACCCCTCAAGCCCTAAAAACCTAAAGCCCTAAACCCTAAACCCTCAACGCTAAAGCCCTGAGGCCCCAAACACTAAGCACCAGAACCCTAAGACTTAACCTCAAGCCGCGAATCCGAAAACTTTCGCAGGTTTAGGGTTTAGGGATTTGGGGTATAGGGTTTAGGGTTTAGGGTTTAGAGGTCTAGGGTTTATAGGGTATACAAAGCGCTGAAACTAAACAGGGTAAAGCGGTCTTCGCTGCTTCAGAGCTCATTTGCCCTGGCGGACTTCATCCGGAACGCCATTTTCCATGGTGGGCGAGAAGGGCCAGCACGGAATAATAGATACTCTTGGTCTAGGACATTTTCAGGTGGGTAGTTACCGTTATAGGAACCATATAGAAGGTCATATACCGTTATAGGAGCCATATAGAAGGTCAATATACCTTATGGAAGCCTTATAGAAGACTTATTATACCCTAAACTCCCCACCTGTAGTTTCCTTTAAGAGAAGGGCCAGCACGGAATAATGGATATAGATACTCTTGGCAGCATCACGGAAGGGGGTAATGACGATAATGATGACAATGACGCTACCGATGTGAGACGGTCTAGATTGTCGAGGTTTAGGGTTTAGGGTTTAGGGTCCACATGCTACCGGCCCAGCCCAAGAATGCACCGAGCGGCCTAGGAATACCAACCTCTACATCCCTGCCGGAACACCACGTCAAGCCCAAAATCCCGATCGAGCCGTACATCCCCAAAGACAATCCTTAAGACCTGCAGACTGTAGACCCTTAGAAGAACCCAAGTACAGGAGCCTTTTGGGCCCCTTCATAGTCTAATTATAATAAGGAACCCCTCAACATAGTATAGGTAATTATTTAGGCCCCTACATTAAGCCATGCCTTCCAAAACAGCAACACATTTCCTGAACGCCTGATCCTGCCTGCTCTCGCTCGTCCCCATTCGCCCTTTCCTGGGGCTCTTGCGTTTCACTGTCTGGCAGCCCCAATGATGCAATGGCTCAGTACAGTGGTGGTGGGGCTTTTAGTGATTCAATGGATCAGTAGAGTGGTGGTGGGACTTTTCGTGATTCAATGCCTCATTACAGTGGTGGTGGGGCTTTTAGGGTTTAGCAAGAGCAGCTTGTTACATGCAAGGGGTTAATTGCAGGGCTTGTAGAGTTCATGGTTTGGGGCATTGCTTGGAGTTGTGGATTGAGGATTCAACACACTACACACCGCACGAAGAATCACGAGAAGGCGATTGTTCATGCTGCCTTACGTTAGGATAGCCCAGCGACATACCCCGGCTTTCAGCCAGCCCTGCCCGAGACCTGTTCATCTTCATCACTGTGGCGAACTATGGCTTTCGTCGTCGTTTTCGTAGCCCTACACTTAGCCCCTGCCTCTCATAGCTAGTTACAGACCACGATGGAAAAACTTCATCACCGTACACCGGCACCTTTACGTGGCACTAAAGCATGAACTTGCCGTATATACATTGGCCCTAAAGTACCTATATAGGGATTACATCAAGGCCAAAGTATACATTATTTGGGTACATGGACCCTTAGGGTAAACTCTACAAGAATTGCGATGCTGACGTTGGGGCCGCCAGAGACAGCCGTCAGCCTCCCGTAAGTGTGACCTCTCCTGCGAGGACACAGGGAGGGCCACAAGGCAAGACGAGGGATGCGTGGCGAGCTTCCTCAACACTATGGGGCCTTTATAACACGCAAAGAGTTCACGGTTTCGGATTTTCAGTACGGTTTTGGGGTAGGCTCTTGCATGGGGATAGCGTGTTTTGGGCATGCTACCCTAAACCCTAAACCCTGAACCCTACTAAACCCTCAGGGATCGAAGATCTGACCGAGGAGGCTTTGGAGTTTCCAAGCCAAAGAAAAGTGTCCTAAACCCCTAAACCCTAAACCCTAAACCCTACTTTGGTGAAGGGCCCGAGGACTCCAAACCCTTGCGGAAGAATCAATATAATGGTGTTATAGGGTTTAGGGTTTAGGGTTTAGGGTTATGCCTATAAAGTCAATATAAACTCACATAGTTATATAAAAATATATAATCTATAGGTTTCACTAGGCAAAGTTGGCGTCGCCAACGGGATGCGTGTAGCTCCCAAGTTAAGAATATATATATATATATATATAAATATATATATTTTTTTTTATTTATACTTATATATTATGTAGAAGAGCTCTTATCTAGGACCAGCATCTAGGCAGCTAAACAAGTAGGTCGCTGAGGCCGAACTTTGTACTGCCTAGGGGTCTCCATCCTTTGGAACTCTACCTTCCGAAAACTCCGGGGTTCTAAGGTTTAGGGTTTAGGGGTTTAGGTTTTAGGGGTTTATTTAGGGTTTAGGGGTTTAGGTTTTAGGGGTTTAGGGTTTAGGGGTTTAGGTTTTAGGGGTTTAGGGTTTAGGGTTTAGGTGGCTCAGGTTCGGCGTCAAAAAGCCCTCGTGCGGCCTTGGTCTTTCCATTACATGTGCCCATGGGCGTTGGCGCGGCCACCGGGGAGCCGGAGAGAAAAGCAACAACTCGGCCATCTTGGTTGATACCCAGAGACACCACACGAATACCCCTACAATGAGCTGTACCCTAAACCCTAAAACCTGCTCTGTACGAAGGCAAAAGCTATTTCCGTCTAGTGTCCCGATGAGATTGGGGTCATTGTTACATAGAGTTATATATGGGTAGTTCTCTAAATTCGGGTCCCGTTTTAGGTCCCCAATATAGTACGGCACCCTTATAAAAAAGTACCCCCAAAGGGACCCTAATTTAGAGAACTACCCATATGTTGAGGTCGAGCTCTGAGGGTTGTGTATCTATGCCAGTAACGTCATCATGGCATTTAGTTTCGATCATTTTCGATCGAAGAAGCCCCAAACTGTACTCCAAACCCCACGCCCTACACCGGTGTTGTTGCGCTGAGGCATAAGCCATCGATTCTTCTTCTGCAGGCTAAGGAACCCTGAGGCTCCAAAAGTGCCGTAAGTAATACATGCACCAGGTACCGAACAAATAGATACGAAGGGCCCGAGCTACAATTTAAGGTACGTATTTTACTTGAGTAAAGGTAGAGTGCCTAGTTACAATCTCAAGTATAATACTTCAGTAAGGGTTGAGTGAACCCTATAGACTGTTTCTTGGAGACAGCCGCCTGCGTGCAACGATTGTAGCCACAATCTGGCGATGTCGATACTTCCCGGTTCAGCGATTCAATCCCATGTGATCATGTGAAGCTTTCCGTGAAGCTCTGGAACTCTAGAAATATGTAGATGGCAGGCGGACCCTAAACCCTAAACCCTAAACCCCAACCCGGTAGTAAGTAGTATTTTGTAATTATTCTAAGCAGGCGGACCCTAAACCCTAAACCCTAAACCCTAAACCCTAACCCGTTAGTAAGCAGTATTTTGTAATTATCCTAAGCACAAAAAACCCAATCTCCAAGGCCTAGTCCCTCGCGTTCAACACCCGAGCTCCAAACACTCAGGTCGTTGAGATTTCGCGAAAACGCTTGTGGCTACTATAGAAGCCTAAATAATAGCAACGATTATTCCTTAGGGTCCTTATCATACTTATACGATAAAGGAGCTTAAGACCCTATTCTGATTATTAAGGCCCCTACAGTAGCGGTGACCGGAAGCCTTTACCGCTTCAATTGGGGAAAAGGCTCCGGCAACAATCAAAGTCAAGATCCTGTCGTGGCCAGGGCGCTGTTGTTGGAAGTTCCTACGTTCAAACCCTAAATCCTATACCCTAAACCCTCCCCTAAACCCTAAACCCTAAACCCTAAACCCTAAATCCTATACCCTAAACCCTCAACTGTACGTTCTTTCTTGAGGCACCCCGAAGACAGAACCCTAAACTCTAAACCCCTAAACCCTAAGCCCCCCGGCGACGGAAACTTCTCGCATATCACTGCAGAGCCATGGCTCACTTTGACTTCGGAGGGCATAGCTACACCATCTCTCCAATATCTGCAATCTACAATCCCTAACCCTAAACCTCTAACCTCTAACCCTAACCCTACAGCCACAAACCCCTTAGCCGGAGGCCTGGTGTAAGACCCTTTTTTAACCGAAACCCTGTAGGTGCTTGCATACGGTTTAGTGTAGGTGCCAGCGACAGCGCCTCTGGCTGCAATTTAAGAAGCTCGTAACCGTGTCATGTCATATCCCACTATTTCGTGTGCGGTGAGGGCTACAGATGGAAGCCACCCAAACCTAAAATCCCTACACCCTTAGCCTCACAGACGAGCGATCCGGCACAGCAGATGTCAGCGCGACGCAGCTGGCGGGTTCGCAAGAATGGTTACCAGCCGGCCGTCGAGGATTGTTCCTGGCTTGAGCGTTCAAGTTCAGGGATTAGTATATAGAAGCCTACATAGCTACCGATGCTACTTCAAATCGGGTTCTGACTTACTGTCCTCAAACTCTAGTCTTTATCTAAACCCTAAACCCCTATATGAGGCTCTGATTGGACTCTTTCGGTAGGGAACCTACAAGTCGCGGTCAGAACACAACGACTTGCTTACTGCTTATGACGACATGTTCATACCGAATTCGAGCTGTAAAGCCCCTTTAAGTTGGCTCTACAAGGCCCGACATAAACCCCTGGAGATCCTATAGCCTTGAAGAGAGGATTTTTAGGTAGCTGTCTCTGTGCGTACCTCTACATGACGTCGGGCACCCGGAATTATGTACACGCACTCACAGTCCTGAAGAGCCTTACTTTGGCCCCTATACACCCACCCAAAACCGAAGAAGAGGCTTCGTGCCTGCATTCCAGGCTAGCGTCTAGGGTTTAGGGTTGAGGGGTTTGGGTTTAGGGCTCAGGGGCTTTATGAATCTGCACTGCCTCATGCTGCGACTGGAGATCAGGCATAGCAGCCAAGCCGACGAAATACTGCTTGGTTTGTAGCAGGAGGTATCAAGAAACAAAACAAGATTCCCATAGTCTAGGGTACTCTAGGCAATGTAAGGTTGTTTCCCCATCACCAGCAACACTACCAAGCCCGGAGGTCTAGACACCTGGACTTAGCTGTTGATTAACTAACTCCCTTCTGAACCCGACACCGCAGACAGGATCGGTTTGTGGAGCATGGCGAAAGATTCGAGGATGGTGCGGTAGAGCGGTTCCAAGGCGTTTCTGGCACTTGTGTGAGATGTCGTAGGGTTCGGGAAAAGTAGGAGGCTGGCATTGTGAACTTTGCAAGGACTCAGGCAGCGTGGTTGCACGCGCTTGCTGGAGGATTTCAGGTTTGGGCGCAGTGTCTAGGGATTTGCGCGTCTCGGTTTTTAAAACTTGCTACATGGAGTACTCGAGCAGCTATGCTTCTTGCCTGACTAGCAATGAACCCTTGCCCTGATCTGTGGTTCTCCTTCAGGACGGGTTTCGTCTTCAGTAATTAACGATTCTACTCGGTCCCTATCAGCGTTGCTTGTAGCAAAGGACTCTGCTTTCTAAGATTCTACGCTTCTATGCTAGGATTCGCATCCCTAAACCCCTAAACCCTAAAACCTAAACCCGCTGTGTGCAAGGCCCTCACAAGTTCTTGTCGAACTTCTTCTGGTCTCAGCTGGACTATGAGGGCCTTTGCTACCCCTCCGTGGAACATGCTTTCCAAGCCGCGAAGCTACGCAGAAACGAGGAGACCACCCTGTCTTGCGGCTTTAAGGATTTTATTCTCGGGGTTTTGGATCAAGAGTTCTGTGCTGTACGCGTTGAGGGCTGCGGGTCTGCGGCAAGTGGTTTCTGGGTCCTTGTTGGCTACAATTTTACATTTTTGTTATACTAAAAAACTCCAATAGGGATTAACAGTGATCATTTTCGGATGTTATAACAAAAACCCAATAGGGATTAACAGTGATCATTTTTAGATACCCCCAACAGGGAACCAGGAAGTCTGTGGCGCTTAGATGAAGGATCTTTGGCTGTTTGCAGCCTTCTTTTGCCATCATGTTCCGTAGGGTCTGACTTCGAACAAGCGGGTTTAGGGTTTAGGGTTTAGGGTCGCAGACTGCAAAAGCGGTGTCTCAAGAACCTCTATATACTCGACCTAAGGCCTAAACTCTATGCCCCGAGCCCCAAACCGTATGCTTGAAACACTTCCTATGCAAGTTTTCAAAATTGGGATGATAGGCGAGAAGGCGGCATGCAAACGCAGCAGGGGGGGCGATTAATATGGGTGGGTAGTTCTCTAAATTAGGGTCGCTGTTAGTGTCCGTTTTATAAGGGCGCCGTACTATATTGAGGACCCCAAACGGGACCCTACTTTAGAGAGCTACCCATATGATGGCTTCGCCAGCTTCACTGGTTTCGTATGAGGCTATGGTTCAGCTTGTACGGCTTGACCTATGCGTAGGGTTTGGGGTTAAGGGATTAGGGTTAGCTACTGTCCTTCTGTACTTCGGGATCCTTGAAACCCTGACCATGAAACCACCCACTTTAAGTTGTTTTGTCCAGTTAGGATAACCAAAGGGTCCTAGGTACTGGTAGGGGCGGTACTTTCTCATATCACAGTAGTAATTCCTAACATAGAAGCTAGAAGCCCTACATTCTACTGCATGGTTACTTATGAATCTTTGCAGCCCTAAACCCCTAAACCCAAAATCTTCTGGGATAGTTGCACCCGGACCCGTTAGTCTCGAGGACGCTCCAAAGATCGCAAAACCTAAGGGTCCATGGTACCCGAATAGCATACTTTGGCCTGAAAGTAGTCCCTATATAGGTACTTTGGGGCCGATATATTTCCTATGTAAGTACATGGACCCTTAAGCCCTAAACCCTATAGAACGAACCCTTATAGATCCCTTTATCAAGCCCATAAACCCTAAACCCTAAACCCTAGTCAAAGGAACCCTTAAAGGGACCCTATCTGGTAAGTACATGGACCTTAGGGAAACGCCTCAGGGCTTTCGGCACTGAACTGGAAGCGCGAAGCCTGCGAAGCCCGAAGCCTCTGCTGACTCTTCAGTTCGGAAACTGTAGTTAACAGAACAACAGTAACAGTAGCTATGATATGAATAGTAAGAATTATGATGATAACAATATCAAAAAAGATAATAATTAAGAACTGAAAAGACCCTAGAAGAGGAGCGATTGGCTTGGGGCTTCACTGGCAGCATCAGCTTCGGTGAGGCCAAGCGGCTAGGACGCCAGGCGGGGCTGAACTTTTGGGAGCGTAGGGTTGTTAAAATGCTTTGTTTTGTTGTGTCTAAGTTACCGGCGGTATACGTCAGGGATGTCTTTTCGCAGGTCGTTGGCGGTGGCTTTGAGTTGAAACTGGAAAATCTGACGAAGTTGATCCAAGATTCAACACCGTCTTCCTCATCGTAAAATTTATCCTAACCACCACGGAAACACCAGCATGATGTTAGTTTTGATTTTCACATCCGTGATGACAGTCTGGTTGCTGCCACGAGTACTGATGCTTCTACTTCTTGTCTGCTTCTTGACTTTCTTCGAAAATAGAAATACATCTGATCAAAGCAACCTCATGATTAATAAACCCGAAACACCATTCCAGCACCAAAGCATGCACGACTGCACATCGCTGTTGTTGGTGCGAGGAGACCGACTCTCCGACAGTGATGATCCCAGCAATAGCCAGCAATAGCATATAAGACATCATTCCAGCATCAAAGCATGTAAGACTGCACTACGCTGTTTGCGAGCGCGCCTCTCCGACAGTGATTTGCTCTCAGCATTATAGCATCTGCGAAAACTTCGTTGCCTACGTGTTGCCGCCTGCATCAAACAACCTCTGCAATCCGAAAAAAGACATTTCACCTCGGAGCAGCACGCTTTTCTTCACACGGGAAAAGAGCCAGAGATCCTAGCGTGCATGAACAACCAAAACTGTCAACATAACCAGAAACGTTAAACACTGGCCGAAAGCCGGTGGCATCACCAAAACAGCTTGGAAGCATGCAAGACTACAAGACCTGCTTCTTGTGCAGGGGAAGCAGACTCTCGGACATTGAAAATCTCAGCAAACATATCTCCCAAAAGAAAATTGCCTGCGCGCTGTTGCTGTCAACTTGAAAACAGCACTCGTTTAGCTCAGACACACACGCATGTGTACAAAAAAGCGCATGAGCCAGAGTCCATGCTCGGCCGGCCATGCTCAACCACTTTTGACCGACTTCAACCTCCACAAGAGTCGTGAGTGATTCGGGAGTGCCTGTTCCTGTGTGTGTCATCCTGCCCCCATGGCCCAACCGCTTCAATCCAGCATAACCATGAAAAAGCAAAATCCAACATTTTAGCGTTCCGGCAGGAATATTTAAAGCCGTGCGAAAACTAAAACTAGCAGCCAAAACATAGGCAACGTGTAGGCAAAAGAACGCCAAGGAGCAAACACAACACAGGGAACACAGCACAGAATCAAAAACCAGCACACAAAGTCAGTGATAATGCTGTTGAGACTGTTGGGCTGGGGAATGCGCTATCTCCTGCTCCTTCGAAAATGCTTGCATGGACATTTTAGACAAAGCACCCGGCCACAGATCTTGATCAAAGCTTCATCACCACTTTGTTGTTGCTTGTTTTATCCTTTGATTTTATGTTTTCTCATAAGCCGAATGCGTTGCTATGAAACGGCTCTTCCCCAGGGGTGTTCGTCCTGCCTCCGCATGCTTCCAAACGGTTAACATGGTCACCAGTTGTACTGTCATCTTTTGCCCACGCGTCTTGTAAATTGCATGTAATACCGTCCTCTGTCTGCTCAATATAGCTACAAGACAAAAACTTGATTTTCCCCTATCCTAGGTTTAAATCAACATTCTTCTGCATTCGTGGGCATGGGCACCCCCGCGCATACCATTGCATGGCACAGTCACACTCACCCAGCTTGCCGCATGAGAAGGGGCATCTTTCTCGTGTGAGAAAGATTTGCCCTCCCGCCCGCCCCAGAGGGGTTGGTGGAGGGCGGCGCCGCGCTGCGCCGCTTGTGTCTCGCT